CTTTCCCCCTTATCATGTAGTATTCACCTTCCCGCTCCAGTCTGTTTGTCATGCGGGTCATGCCAAAACTTCATTTTAAATTTTGATACCAGTTCCCATTTTCAAGCCAAATCAAGCAAATGTCCTATCTGCATCTGTACGGCTCTTCTTGGCTGAGATGTCTGATCAATTAACGATGCCCTTCTTCTGCCAGTGACACCAGCCACCACACTCCGTGGGTTTTCCTGCCTCGGCCACTTCACGAATCCTGGTGCCTATCTTCTCTGTACCACATTGCCAAACTGCCACTCTTCCTACATTCAGTAGGAAGTAATTGCTTCGTAAAGATAATAAGAAATGAACCAAACCAAAGGTTAGAAAATGAAATAAACACTGTCCCTTCTCTGGTTTCCAAAGGGGATTTTAAGTGGAGTAAATGGGAAGGGTGGTTCACGATGCTTATGTGATCGCTCTGCTCTCCTCTTTTTTGACTTTGACAGGGTGTTATTTCTATAAGTGGTGCACGGGTTGCAAATTAACAATGTCTCTACTATAGAATGCAAAGGAAGGAGGGAAAAAAAAAAAAAGATTAGTAGTTTTTCTGGTTTTGCTGAAATACTAATTGTTGTCATATGCGGGGTGCCGGACCAGAGGCGCCTTCCAGCCGAAATGATCCTGTGACTCCAAAAGAAGGCTCTGACAGCAGCCCAGATCCCCTCTCCTCACTCACCCGGCAAGCTGCGCTACTATTTATTCCTATACTTCGTTTTTACACACAAGTCAATTTTATTATTATTGTATTTTAGTTAGCCTGTGGCAACCGCTTGACACCACCTCAGTAGACGATCTGCTTTCATGTTGACAGGACTGCAGGGGGACGTATCCTGGCGAACCCGTGGCTCAAGTAACCTCCTATTTGGAAAACTAATTGTATCTTGCAAATAAAAGACTTTACATCCGAAAATAAGCTGAATGTGTATGTATTGTGGAACTGTACTGTTTTTCAAAGGGGCGAGCTTTGTCGGAGAGAAGGCGAATGCCAGGTTTTGACAGGTAAGATGCAATTCTGCCCCTGCGTCAGTTCTTTCTTGTTTCAGTTTGTCTCATTTTCAGCAACAGAATTTAATGTTCTTACTTTATGAATATGAATGCAGGTATTACGAACACGAGTTACACATTTCAAATTAATGGAGAGACGTGAGCACTGAGAGGCCATATACTTTTATTTTTGAAGAGTGGGTGTTCAGGTACAAGTGATCTTGAGATTAGCTAATTTACAGCACCAAAGACACCGGACTCTTACCGATCAGCCCCTGGACACGAGGACAGCCCGGAACGGCAACTCGAAGGTGTGCCCTGCCCCGGGCCAGTGACGGACTATCTGTGCTAATGCATACGCAAGCCTTTTCAGGGCTTGTGGCTCTCAGTACAGAAGAAAAAAATCTGACTTTTCATTCTGTTGGGACACACATGTCCCCACGTGCCAATTCACGTGAAAGAGTAGCTCACTCCCATCACAGACCAGCTGAAAGGGGGTTTCCCAAAATACTGCTGCTCCCTGGTCCGCAGAGCCCAGCGGCACGGGGAGCAGCAACTAAGAATGGCAGCTCATCTTTATCGGTGTGGAGACAGGGAAA